CCACTTCCAATCCAGCTCTCTGCTATGGCCTAGGAAAGCAATAGAAGATGGCCCAAGACCTTGGGTCCCTGCACCCACATGTGAGAACTGGAAGAAGCTCCTGGCTCCTGGTTTTGGATCTGCCCAACTCCAGCCATTACAGCCATTTGGGGAATGAACCAGAGGTTGGCAGTCCTCTCTTTTTCTCTCTCTCTGCTTTTCTGTACCTCTGTCTTTCAAATAAATAAAGAAGTCTTTAAAAAAAAAAAAAAAAAAAAAGAGGGCCAGCACCGTGGCTTACTTGGCTAATCCTCCTCATGCAGCACCGGCATCCCATATGGGCGCTGGGTTCTAGTCCCGGTTGCTCCTCTTCCAGTCCAGCTCTCTGCTGTGGACCGGGAGGGCAGTGGAGGATGGCCCAAGTGCTTGGGTCCCTGCACCCGCATGGGAGACCAGGAAGAAGCACCAGGCTCCTGGCTTCAGATCGGCGTAGTGCCAGCCGTAGCGGCCATTTGGGGAGTGAACCAATGTAAGGAAGACCTTTCTCTCTGTCTCTCTCTCTCTCACTGTCTATAATTCTACCTGTCAAAAAAAGGAAAGAAGGAAGGAAGGAAGGAAGGAAGGAAGGAAGGAAGGAAGGAAGGAAGGAAGGAAGAAATTTTAGTGCTAAAGTTCAACAAAGTTGTAGGACACATAGTGACCCCACAAAAATCAATCATGTTTCATGTTGCAACATAACCACACTAGCAAATGAAGGGATCTCTTTCACCAGTGGTCAGGAGAACATGACAATTTTCCAATACTTAAAATGTATTTATATAAAACACGTAAAACTTGAAAAAATGAACAGGTTTATGCCATTTCTAGTTTTTCAGAAAGCCTGACAGTCCCCATACTAACACACAATATCAATGTGAAGTGTCAGGGGACATTATGAAACACTTACTAAAAATCTGGCTTGTACAACCACAAAACAAACAGGCACACTGCTAGTGACATCCAAAAATGGCCTACTCCAGCAAAACACAGGGCTCCAAATTCAAACATCTTAACTATATTAAAATATTAATGGCCCTGGTAAGAAACAGCAGAGTCAAAAACAAGCAGTTTGCATAAGGCAGTCTGTAGTCAGCAGTCAAAACAACAAACTCTTCTAGACTAACACAAATATCCAATACGGAGGGACGGCTGGTCATGCATGGTGCATCCCTACAAATAGCAACACATGAACCAAATGAAGATGTGCATCTGCTAACTACAAGTGCACACATTTACTTCAGAGGGGGAAATGAATGCTCACAAAGCCCCTCTGAGCAAATGGGGACAAATTCAACACCGACCAACAAAAAACTGAAGCACCACTGATGGCCAGCAACCCTGAAGATAAATGAATCCTCAAACATTTCATCTAAAAACACCAAACTCAAAAGGCGGACACAGCCTAGGCCACCACCACCACCACTCTCTCCTACCACCCAAACAAGCCCATTAGCCTGCGCCCCAACAAGGGCCTCTTGGAAATCAGCATCAGCTGGCAGATGGGCTTTAGCTTCTATCAGCCTCCATCCCACTTCACCAAACACAGGAAGGTTCAGGTCCATCTGCTCATGAACAGTGAAACCTTCCGCTTACGCAGAACAAATACTCATCACACACACACACACACACACACACACACAAACAAAACAAAATAAACATGATTCCACAGAGTGGAAAGCAACAAAGGGGATTCTGATCTTCCAGATCCACAACCGGGATGGACAGTGGCAGGTCTCCATCACTTCTAAGAGTGACACCCACATCTGTCCTGTGCTAAATCTGCCCATTCAACTAGTCCTGTTTCCCAGGAAAAGCAGGGGCATCCATCCTTCCTGGGAAAAGCCCTATCTAGATATGATCCAATTCCTACTTTTCACCTGAAGGAGTGCTTGGGACGTGATGCGAATTTGCAGGAAAACCTGGAGGAACTAGCGGCCACCGTGAAAATGAAGACTACTACAGTATCAGCTGAACACCTAAAGGAGATGCACCCATGAGGGCAGAAAAAAGCACCAACTCTACTGATGCATGGGGGTGGGAACAAAACTATTCCTCCAATTTCTCCATCTTCTCCCCGTGGGCCCCATCTTCTGTGCCAGGGTTGAGTCTGACTTCACAAGACCAAAATGGATTTCCCTACAATTTTACAAGTCAGGGACAGGGATCAAGTATATGAACTATTAGCTGCTGCCTCCTAGGGTTTGCATTAGCAGCGAGGACTCAAACTCAGGTGAGCATCCCAAGCAACACTTTTTTTTTTTTTTAAAGATTTATTTATTTATTTGGAAGGCAGAATTACAGAAAGGCAGAAAGACAGAGATGTCTTCCATCCGCTGGCTCACTCCCCAGTTAGCTATAGTGGCCAGAGATGTGCTGATCCAAAGCCAGGAGCCAGGAGTTTCCTCCAGGTCTCCCATGCAGGTGCAGGGACCCAAGGAGTTGGGCCATCTTCTACTGCTTTCCCAGGCCATAGCAGAGAGCTGCATCGGAAGTGGAGCAGCTGGGACCCAAACCAGTGCCCATATGGGATGCTGGCACTGCAGGTGGCAGCTTTACCCACTACACCACAGCACCAGCCCCCAGAGCAGCATCTTTACCACTGTGCCAAATGCTGGTTGCAAGGAGCACTTTAATTTTTTGTTTGTTTGCTTTTAATTATTTGCAAGAGAGAAAGAAACAGAGCTCCCATCCGCTGGCTTACTTCCCAAACACCCACAACAACCAGGGCTAGACTGAGCTAAAGCCAGAAACTCAATCCATGTGCCAGAGCCAGGGATAATATCCAGACACTCCAATGTGGGAGCAGGTGTTCTAACCATAAGGCCAAATACCTACCCCAAAAAAGCATATTTAGAGCAAGAAAAAAGATTAAGAGGGGCCAGCATTGTGGCAAAGCGGGTGAAGCTGCCACCTGCAGTACCGACATCCCATATGGGCACTGGTTCAAGTCCTGGCTGCTCCACTTCCGATCCCACTCTCTGCTATGGCCTGGGAAAGCAGTAGAGGATGGCCCAGCTCCTTGGGCCCCTGCACCCTCCTTGGAGACCGGAAGAAACTCCTGGCTCCCGGCTTGGGATTGCCGCAGCTCCGGCTGTTGCAGCCAACTGGAGAGTGAGCCAGCAGATGGAAGACCTCTCTCTCTTTCTCTGCCTTTCCTTCTCTCTCTGTTAACTCTGATGTTTAGATAAATAAAGACATCTTAAAAAAAAGAAAAAAGATTAAGAATCAGGAGCTAGCATCGTGACACAATGAATTAAGCTACCACTAGTGACACAGGCATCCCATATGAGCACTAGTTCCAGCTATGGCCCAGCCCTGGCTGTAACAGCCATTTGGGGAGTGTACCAGTAGATGGAAGATCTCTTACCCTCTTTCTCTGTAACTCTTCATTTCAAATAAATAAATAAAGCTTAAGAAAAATTAAGAATCAGTTTATCCTTAATAAGAAATTACTTTTCTTTGTTCACTAAGAAGCAGAGCTACACACACTATAGTTACACCTACTCAGCCAAGGCCAGACACTTGTTTATCAAGAACATAGCCATACACTACCAAAAGAGGTCAAATGTGCCACATGCATCCTGGTTAATACTAAAGACCAGTTTTTACTCAGATTCCTGACAACGAATTGACCACGAAACAAGTCTAAATTGAAAATATTTAAAATCAGTCCATTAGAGAAAAATCTGTGATTGGCGCATACTGCTACATCTGTCACTCAAGGGACAACCGGACTGAGGGCCTTCTTCTGGAACCCACCCCTCCCATCAGCTGTGCCTAGCTCAGGACTGGGTATGAGCTGCTGCCAGAGAACAGCTGAAAGGGTAATTGCTGGCCAGCGCCACAGCTCATTAGGCTAATCCTCCGCCTTGTGGCGCCGGCACACCGGGTTCTAGTCCCGGTTGGGGCGCTGGATTCTGTCCCGGTTGTCCCTCTTCCAGGCCAGCTCTCTGCTGTGGCCAGGGAGTGCAGTGGAGGATGGCCCAGGTGCTTGGGCCCTGCACCCCATGGGAGACCAGGAAAAGCACCTGGCTCCTGGCTCCTGCCATCGAATCAGCGCGGTGCGCCGGCCGCAGCGCGCCGGCTGCGGCAGCCATTGGAGGGTGAACCAACGGCAAAGGAAGACCTTTCTCTCTCTCTCTCACTGTCCACTCTGCCTGTCAAAAAAAAAAAAAAAAAAAGAGAGAGAGAGAGAGATTAAAAAAAAAAAGAAATCACCAAGGCTGGCATTGCAACATAATGGGTTAAGCTGCCACCTGGTTTTTCTGGTTCATGTCCCAGATGTTCCACTTCCAATCTAGCTCCCTGCTAATGGCCTGGGAAAAGCAGTGGAAGATGGTCCAAGTGCTTGGGCCCCTACTACCCATGTGGGAGACCCGGATGAAGTTCTTGGCTCCTGGCTTCAGCCTGGCCCAGCCCTGGCCCAGCCCTGGCCACTGTAGCCATCTGAGGGGTCACTCAGTGGGTAGAAGATCTCTCTCTCTCTCTCTAATTCAGATTTTCAAATAAATAAATAAATTTTAGGAAGGATGGCAAAGAAAGAAAAAAATAACCTCAATCATGCTGCACGTTGGAGGCCATTTAAAGACTTTGATCTTTAACCTGGAGAAGTAACATAGGAGCCAAGGTTGGCAGTGCAGGCTCCTGGTAACATGCCGAAGTCCCCAGCTGGTCAGCAAAAGCCAATGGGAATAAGAGGTACTGAGGCGTATCTCCAATGGGAGCAAGCTCAGGTCATTTGGTTTTGACTGCAAACAGTTCAAATTCCATGAGGGACAATCACTTGCCAAATCATTTTTGGAATGGAAGCCCACACCACCCAGCCCAACGCCCATCTTTCAGGATCTTCCACTCAATGACTTGGCTTGAGGTAGGTGGACAGTAAACAAAGTCCTCCCCAGCCTCTCAGCTGCCACCATGACTCTAATGGATCAGGATGGATCAGAAGAGCAGAACAAATGTTCTCTTAAACAGTGACTCACCAGGAAGTCTGTTCATGTTGACGCCTTGAGCCGAGAGTCCAATTCCCATGTACCTTCAATAAAGCACACATACAAAATGTTAGCAAATGATTATGCATCTCCCTTTCTCAAATATTTCTTGGTACAAGATAGAACAATAGAGAAAACAATGGATACAGAGACTCTTTTAATACACTACTGGTTGCTGGAAATCTTTACATTTTGATTTTCTAATGAAAAGCATCTTACTGCTTTGTGCAGCTAGAGAAACCAAAGGAAAGTGTGTGTGGAACTATGAACGACCAGCTTCAGTTCTCAGAGTGTCCAGAAATCACGGCTTCCGGCCTTTTGGCTTTCTGGCTCCAGTGAAGGCAGCACAATCTACACCTAGGAAGTGCCTAAAGTAAGTAGATCAATCCCACACGGTGCCTGGCAGAGGGATGCACGGTCAAAGCCACAGGGACAAGCCACTCTACAGCAAGGACTAGGACATGTGAAAAGCACAGCTAAGATGGTTCTGGACACACAGCTTCTTCTCTAAGTCTCTCAAACCTCATTACACTCCCCTCATTCATTCATACTGGGTGGTACTGATGTGTGAGGCCCCCCCACTACTCCCACACCAGGTGTCCAAGTGACTAAACCGCCCACAGCAAGGTGGGGCCCATGCTGCAGCAACTCCCAAATATGTCTCAGTGGCACTCACCGGAGGCAGGTCAGAAAAGGAAATGAACATTTTTTTTTTAAGTTGTATATTTGTATTCCACAAAGAAATAGGTGTTTGCTCAAGAACTTAGAAATGAGAGAAACACTGTCTTCTCCTCCTAAGAGTAAGACAGTGTAAACCAACACATGATGCCTTTTTTTGGTAAGATTTTATTTATTTTTTAAAGACTTATTTGGGGCCAGCATTGCAGCATAGTGGGTAAAAGCCACTGCCTGCGGTGCCAGTTCAAGTCTCGGCTGCTCCACTTGCAATCCAGCTCTCTGGTATGGCCTGGGAAAGCAGTGGAAGATGGTCCAAGTTCTGGGCCCCTGCACCCACGTGGGAGACCCAGAGGAAGCTCCTGGCTCCTGGCTTCGGATCTGCGCAGCTCCAGCCAATGTAGTCATCTAGGGAGTGAGCCAGCGGATGGAAACCTCTCTCTCTGCCTCTTCTTCTTTTTCTATATAGCTCTTTCAAATAAACAGATTAATTAATCTTTAAAAAAAATTAAAAAGACAAGACTTATTTTATTTATTTGAGAGGCAAAGTTACACAGAGAGCAAGAGACAGAAAGAGAAATCTTCCATCCATTGATTCATTCCCCAAATGGCCGCAACAGCCAGAGTTGGACCAATCGAAAGCCAGGAGCCAGGAGCTTCTTTCAGGTCTCACACGTGGGTGCGGGGGCCCAAGTACTCGAGCCATCTTCTACTGCTTTCCCAGGCACATTAGCAGGGAGCTGGATCAGAAGTGGAGCAGCTGGCACTCGAATTAGTGCCGAACTGGCATTGCAAGAGGAGGCTTAACTTTCTACACCACAGCACCAGCCACATGAGGCCTGGTATTAACCACATAGGAGCACTACAGGTTGATGAAGTACTTAGGATACTTATATCACCAGTCAAAGAGGCTGAGGCATAACCTATGTTTGCATAATTGGACTCATATACTTAAAAATCAATAAATAGGAGGTGGGCACAACAATGCATCTGGTTAAACCATCTTCTGGGATGCCTGCTCCCACTGTCAGAGGGCCTGAGATTGAGTCATCATCTGCTGCCTCCCAGAGTGCATGTTAGCAAGAAGCTGGATCAGAATAGGAGGCAGGCGGCCAGCGCTGCGGCACAGTGGGTTAAAGCTGGGTTCCAGCCCAGCGTGATGGAGATAGATGGCTTCAGAGGAAGGTGGATGACTTAGAGTTGTCCTTCCCTTTCTGATCCCCTGGGTGGTAGCAGCTGCTCCCCACAAATCCAGTGGTTCAGCCAACCTGAGAAAGGCAAAGGGCATTTACTGTAGATGAGGGATAGGCAGAGGCTTGAGCACTGTGAGATTGTCAGGAAACTGACACATAGGTGTGAGGAGCATGTCTGGAGGGAAGAAACAGTCTAGGATGGGGAAAGGTTTCTCCCAGAATTAGAATAAGGAACAGTCAGAATGTGAATATATAACCACTTGGAAATGAGAAAGTTAAGGCAATCCAGTGCAGCACATGGCCCTGATAAGTTGCTCAGAGGGCTTAGGAGAAAGGGAAGGGTGAGAAAGGAGAAAGCAAAAAGAGGGAGTTCCATGATTCAGTGGGAACCTGTCTCCTACTTGGTTTTGTTTGAGGGAACATCTGGGACATAGAATTGGATCCTTAAAGGTCAAAGATGTGAACCAATATAGCTTGTAGTTGGCCAGAACTGCTGATCCCTTCCCAGAAACACACAAACCACCTGCCACCTCCTGCCAGAAGAGGTCAACCTCAAGGACCATCAGAAGCAGAAACAGTGTAAGCCTGACGCCAGGATTCCCATTAGATTAAAGCCCATACATTTCTCCAGAAAAAAAACAGAACGCAGGTAACCAGCTTCCTGACTTTACTGGGTAGAGGCTGCCAAAGGTGGTTTTCATTCACTCAGTGTCTCGGCTGACCAAGCAAACAACCCCAATTGTTCTGCAGTCATCAGATGAGCACGTGCAAGTGCAACAAGGCAGGGAACTCCCTGACGTGGATGTCAGCTGTTCACCCTGCCCTGTTCAGAGGGGCCAAGGTCTGTGCCCAACACCATACATGGTCCAATCCCTGGCATGCAGGTTTCCTGACACTAAAGTGAGGGTTTGTGTTAGAAACACATGTGTGGGGCCGGCACTGTGGCACAGAGGTTTAACACCCTGGCCTGAAGCGCTGGCATCCAATATAGGTGCCAGTTCTAGTCCCGGCTGCTCCTGTTCCAACCCAGCTCTTTGTTATGGCCTGGGAAAGTAGTAGAAGATGGCTCAAGTCCTGGGGCCCCTGCGCCTGCCTGGGAGACCAGAAGAAGCTCCTTGGCTCCGGATCAGCGCAGCTCTGGCAGTGCCGCCATCTGGGGAGTGAACCATTGGATGGAAGACCTCTCTCTCTCTGCCTCTCCTCTCTGTGTAACTCTGACTTTCAAATAAATAAATAAATATTTAGGGGGAAAAAAACACACACATGTGCCTCATGGTGACTTTTTTTTTTAAGATTTTATTTGTTTATTTGAGAGGTAGAGTTACAGACAGAGAGATGCAGAGACAGAGAAAGAGGTCTTCCAACCGCTGGTTCACTCCCCAGACAGCCACAACGGCTGGAGCTGGGCTAACCTGAAGCCAGGAGCCAGGAGCTTCTTCCAGGTCTCCCACGTGGACACAGGGGCCCAAGCATGTTCTTCTGCTTTCTAAGGCAATGGCAGAGAGCTGGTTCAGAACAGCAGGAGCCAGGACTAGAACCAGCGCCCATATGGGATGCCAGTGCAGCAGGCAGAGGCTTGGCCTACTATGTCACAGCGCTGGCCCCTCCTGGTGACTCTTGATCACCTAAAGCTAGGCAATGAGGCTCTGGTATTCCATGAAAGTGGAGAACCAGAAAGGTACCAGAAAGCTCAAAACAAAGCAGCTTAGGCCTCCCCACCAAAAAAAAAAAAAAAAAAAGGAAAGCCTCTTCAATCCCATAGCTGGCCATCAACACGTTCCTGTAGACTCTCTGCTCCACAGGTGAGATGGTGTTTATTAGCGGATGATCTGGGAGCCTCTGTACAAAACCCCTGCCTCAACTTGAGAGTCGGAGTGTTTGAGCTAACAGCAGAGCCGTCTCAGGAAGCTGACACCCGCCCACGCTTGGGTGCCACGCCAGCTGCAAGTATCAAGTATCTAAATCCTGGGAAGCAGCTCCTTGGCAGTCCAGGTTGTGTACTCAACTGAGGTCAGAGCTCATGAAAGGGAAATAAGCCCCAACTCTTCAGATACTAGGTGACATTAAGTCTTTTCCAAAAGTATGATGTCCTGAAACTACAAAAAGATGCAATATTCTATCTTCCATTAAGCCATCACGTATTTGAAGACTAGGAGTATTATCCAACCAGTCTGAGATAAGCAATGCAGGAAAAAAAGAGCTATGTGACCATGTGAATACACTAAAAAATGCTGAACTGTACACTGTAAATGGATCAATTATATGGCACATTAAATCATATCTCAGTAGGGCCAGTGCCATGGCACAGCAGGTTAAGCCACCATCAGCAGCGCTGGCATCCCATGTGGGTGCCGGTTCAAGTCCCAGCTGCTCCACTTCCAATCCAGCTCCCTGCTAATGTGTTTGAGAAAGCAGTGGAAGATGACCCAAATGGAAGACCTGGATGATGCTCCTGGCTCCTTTCTTCAGCCAGGCACAGCCTTAGCTGTTGCAGCCATTTGGGGAATGAACAAGCAGATGGACGATCTCTCTGTCTCTCCCTTTCTCTCTCTAACTCTGCCTTTCAAATGAATAAATAAATAAGTAAACTTTTTTTTTTTTTTATTTGACAGGTAGAGTTACAGACAGTGAGAGAGACAGAGAGAAAGGTCTTCCTTCTGTTGGTTCATTCCCCAAATGGCCGCCACAGCCGGCGCTGTGCCAATCTGAAGCCAGAAGCCAGATGCTTCTTCCCAGTCTCCCATGTGGGTGCAAGGGCCCAAGCACTCAGGCTATCCTCCACTGCCCTCCCGGTCCACAGCAGAGAGCTGGACTGGAAGAGGAGCAACCGGGACTAGAACCTGGCGCCCATATGGGATGCCGGCACTGCAGGCGGAGGATTAACCAAGTGAGCCACAGCACCGGCCCTAAATAAATCTTTAAAAAAAAAAAAACTCCTCAATAACACTCAATAAACTAACAACACAATACAGACCATATCTGAGGGACTGGCATTGTGGCATAGTAGGTTCAGCTGCTGAGACGCTGGCATCTTCATGAGTGCTAGTTCGAGTCCTGCCTGTTCAGCTTTGATCCAGTTTCCAGCTAATGTGCCTGGGAAAGTAGTAAAAGATGGGCCCCTACCACCCATGTGGGACACCCAGATAGAGTTCCAGGTTCCCGGCCCAGCCATTAAG